CTCATTATTATGGACTCAGACGGAGAGCCAAGGTTTAATTTATACAAAGAGATGTATAATTATATGTATCACAATTAGATGGGACTTTGCTCTGGGCATGGAGATCCTGTCGTTATTCACGTTCTATCCGCAGTCGTTACTAGCAAAGTTGACTGTAGCAAGATGCGGTGTCTGTACCAACCAGCGGTGGTTCAACACACTGTAAACAATAAGACATATTCTATACCCTGACATGCTAGGCAATAGAGGTAAAACTGCACTGGTAGTTTTCTACGTCAGGGTTAGGCTTTCCCCAAATCGGCCGGCCGAATAATCCGCCGAAAACGAGACATGGAAAATCGCTCAGCTTTTCGCCGATTTTGAATGGTTCCCTTGAGAATCGCCGAAAATCTATCAAATGTTGTTGCAAAGTGCCTCTACAGTCTACAAACGAATGATGTTGCTGCAATGATGACCGCCTAAGCTCTCTACTTCAGTGCTTGTAGTACTAGTGCGTTGAGGTCGTGTGACTCATGTCCTTTGACCTCCTCTCCAAAAAACATTAGCCATTAGGAAGATTGTTACTAGTAAAATACTACACTACAACGTACAGTTGTGGCTAGTTCCATCTAGCAGAGCTGTATTTCCAACATCTCACCAATTTTGAAGCCAATATGCCAACAATTCTTTTAGCCAATATAATTATTCCAATTTTGCAGCCGATTTTCGAACAATCGAGCGAAAAGCTGAATAGGCGAAAAAACGGGCAGATTTGGGGAAAGCCTAGCCAGGGTCCGTATGACTTCGGTATGAGCAACCGCGCTGACGTGAATATTATGGTGACCTGAGCCCCGGCTTCCTTTAGTCCATGTATCAAAGATGATCTCTAGTCTGACTCTGGTGAGCTCCCATGCTAAGTGCGGGAACTTGGTTTTGTTGATTCCGTTGCTTTTATAGCACACTTTGCAGTGCCGAGAAATTTGAAATAAAAATGAGTAAAACAGGCACCTCAACTGGGGTTTGAACTCCACAGTCATACTGTGCAGTGCTGTTGCAAGTGGAGTGAAACGGCCTGGGCTTGCATGGTTTATGGTACATGCCGTTTTCCCTAATCCAGTGCTTTTTGGGGCAAAACCTGGTCGAAACTTCCTATTCTTGCTTTTGGAGAGATGTAGATGTACTTCGGAAAACCCGATACCGGTTGTTATTACTGTCGTTGGAAGAAGAGTCGGCGTGGAGAAAGCAATGAATTTTTATAAGTGCAGTAAAGAAAATGAGAGATGCAGACATGCAGACATAATGTTCTTTTCGTATACCTTACAGTCAGTTCTGGCACTGTTCATCTTCTGACCGCTGCTTGTCTGCAAGCAAAGTCTTACACGCCTTGTCCGGCGTCCTTCCGGGCGAGGCAAGCAAATCTCGCTTTGCTTCCTCATAATATGTACTGACGGCGATGCGCTCGGCCATCTTCTTGAGCTTTTCGTTAAACTCTGCGCGGAGCGCACACTCTTGCCGTCTAGCACTGCGCTCTTCAAACTCCTCGCTCTGTCGGAGCCTCTTCTCCACGTATTCTCTCAACCTATCGCCTTCAAATCCATACCGAATTCCGTTGGCGATAAAGCTGGCTTCAATGATCCATAGTTCCTGTGCCATGCTCGCTTCGTATCCTGGCGTGGTCGCCAAATGTTGTGAACCCTCTGGTTCTCTAAAGTATCAGGAACGAACGACCCCACACGGCACGAGGACAACTATTATTCTCAACAGTATATTTCACTTCCATCGACTAATACCAATGAACAATGAATGTATGAACAACGGAATGAACTGAATAACTAACACTAAAACCACCAGGTAGTTATAGCGTGAAAATGACAGCGTGTATGAGAAAAGCATACACATACAACATACAACTACAGCGCACACAGCAAACCGCACATAGTGCCTGTAGCGTATGCCACGTCGTAAACATCAGCGGTACGGCGGAGTCGGGATACAGCTGCATTGAAACGAACACAATGTCACAAGCGAGAAGGCCTTTCACTCTCGAGAACTTGTCGTTTCACAACAGAATGCAATAAATAATGGAAAAGTTGACAGGATCTCTTTTCTAAATTTTGCTTTTCTGCTGCCGAGCTGCGAGGCCTCCTTTTACGGAATACTCGATGACAGGTGATCTCTATGGGCATGTTCGTTTGGTAGGATCGGGATCCCGATCCACCAGATCCACTGGATTCGCACCCTTTCGATTGGTCGAACCCGGATCCGGATCCTTCGGATTTGGATCCGGTCAACCCACCTCGGGGAGCAGGGTTGACCGGATCCAACGGATCCAAATGTGACCTTTGTGCGTATATGGCGGGTAAAACTCGTTTTTGTACACATTGTGGTACGCACACGTGGATCGAGATAGAGCTTGTTGACTTTTTGTACAACTGGCGCTGTGAGTACGAATTTTTATTACTTTCGTCAACATGGCAACAGTCAAGGCTCAAAAAAGTGTCCAGTTGACTCTGAAGGATCCGACGGATCTGAGATCTGGATCCCGATCCCGATCCTAACCAATTGAACATGCCCTAAGTTGACCGGTTTCCTTCGATTCATTTGCTTATTATAGCAATAAAAACTGCTTTATGGCAGTTTTCTAAAAAAAGTTATTGTGCTCTAGTCCATGGACCCCGTCTAAAAAGTAAGAAATTAACGAAATGTGATAGCCGAAAATTAAAATTTCACACAAAACCTCACAATAATCACACACAGGATGAAAAGCAAGAAGACCTTTTCCCTTCGTGGCCCTCTTTCCTAATAATAAGGCATGTTGGCGCAGTACTCGTACAAGTCACCCGTGAAGTATCAGACCAAGATGGACTCTTTTGGTCGGACTAAACAAGTGTTGAAAGCAGTATTTTTTTTAAAACTAAGATCCTCAAGTGTTGTGATTATTGTGAGGTTTTGTGTGAAATTTTAATTTTCGGCTATCACATTTCGTTAATTTCTTACTTTTTAGACGGGGTCCATGGACTAGAGCACAATAACTTTTTTTAGAAAACTGCCATAAAGCAGTTTTTATTGCTATAATTTCTTCTTTTTTTTGGCTAAGGATGATTATTATAATAGTTGTGTAACCAATGGAATGCCCTAAATGAGTGCCTACATGTAGCGCCTCTACATGTGCATCATATCAAATTCAATACCGTATTATAAGCATTGATGTGCAAGCCTTTTCTTGCAGATAATGGCACTATAAGTGTTGTAGTCTTGCATATTCATGTTCTTCTGCATGCAGGGGAATCATATGGGTAGTGGCGGTGATACTTTTTTTATACACAGGGCATCCTGTGGATGTTGCTGTTGCAGAATTTCATGATAAAATTGTCTTGTCTTTCAGAAAATTCGGATGTCCACACCCTAAATCACATTTACTTGAGAATTGTAACGAGGTACGTGCCGCAGATGTTTTTTGTTGAATCTGTGTTTATAATTGTAGTCATGGGTTGTCGTGATAAGGTCATCCGGCATCATAATTATTGTACTGAAATCGTTATCTTGTTGATGTCGATAAAACTTTTGGAAGTAGTTCAATGACTTCAAAGTGTTACAAGTCCACGATTGTCTAAAATAACACAGCAAAGTAGGAACAATAAACATGACTGTATTAAAATGTAAACAAATACATTGTTAAGTCCGACACCTCGTTCCAACAACTACACTGATCCTGAGGATATAAGGGGCAAGGATATATGGTTGGAGGTACTGAGAGATAAACAAGGCACTCCATAATAATAATAAAATGTTACACGACTTTGGGGGAGTATGAATGATATCCAGTCAAACCTCTTTAGGACGAACATCAAGGGACCGATGGTATTTGTTCTGTGAGTTTGTCTTAACCCTATTTTATAACTAGTGAATACAATTATTTCTCCAATAGAGACACGAATAGATTTCTTCTACAGCGAAAGATTCTAAGCCAGACCAAACCATTGACTCGTCTTGTATGAAACAAATGAGTCACTGAACCTTTCTTTAGCAACATGACGGCAACTGAAACAACAGAGAAAATACGATACATACACCCTAGTAAAATAAAAGTTACCAATAATAAATAATAATAATAATACAGCACATTCTCGCAGGTACATGTACTACAAACAGATTGCAGAACGTAATCCTTGCTCTGCCGGCACGCAAATTTATTTGGGGCAGTGCAATCTCGGCGCTACTCACAAATCAAACAGCCCAGACTCGAGTAAACAAATCCAATCTTACGAGATTTTCACAAGACTGCACCCATTGGCTTGTTCCGTATGAAGCAAACAAGTCACTGAATGCATGAACCTCTCCATAATCGAGATTTTCCCTGATATGCGAATTTATTTTGCAAACTCGGCCAATGGGTCCTTGAACCTTTCCCTCCAGATTGGGAACTGCCAACGATGCTATGCCACTGCAAAATTCAGATTCTACCCTATGATCGGAGCACGGAATGCCGGAAGCAATCATGCCCAGTGCCTTACTTGTAACGTACCAATGTACAATGAACATTATAGCAATAAAAACTGCTTTAGGGCAGTTTTCTAAAAAAAGTTATTGTGTTCTAGTCCATGGACCATGGACCCCGTCTAAAAAGTAAGAAATTAACGAAATGTGATAGCTGAAAATTAAAATTTCACACAAAACCTCACAATAATCACAACACTTGAAATGCTGCTTTCAACTTTAACTTGTACTGCACCAACAATTGGCAACATGCATGCATAGGAAAGAGGATCACGAGGGAAAAAGGTCTTCTACATGTAGCTTTTAATTCTGTGTGTGATTATTGTGAGGTTTTGTGTGAAATTTTAATTTTCAGCTATCACATTTCGTTAATTTCTTACTTTTTAGACGGGGTCCATGGTCCATGGACTAGAACACAATAACTTTTTTTAGAAAACTGCCCTAAAGCAGTTTTTATTGCTATAATTTCTTTTGTTTTTTTCTGTCACCAATCAATGGAATGCCCTATATCAATAATAATAATCCTTCAATGCGACGGACCCCACGATAGGTACTGGTCATCCAGCATCATATTGCACTGAAATCGTAATCCTGTTGATGTCGATACAACTTTCGGAAGTAGTTCAACGACTTCAAACTGTTAGTCCACGATTTTCTAAAACAACACAGCAAAGGAGGAACAATAAACATGTATTAAAATGTAAACAAATACATTGCTGAGGCCGACACCTCGTTCCAACAACTACACTGATCCTGAGGATAAAAGGGTCTAAGGGTACTAATACTGAGAGATAAATAAGGCACTCCATGATAATAAAATCTTACATATATTTTGGTGAGTATGAATGATATTCAGTCGAACCTGTTTAGGACGAACACCAAGGGACCGATTGTATTTATTCTGTGAATTTGTCTTAACCTATTTTATAACCAGTGAATACAATTATTTCTCCAATAGACAAACAAATAGATTTCTTCTACAGCGAAAGATTCTAAGCCACACCAACTCATTGACTCGTCTCGTATGAAACAAAAGAGTCACTAGAGAGGTTCTGCAAAACGAAAATGCGTACACACTTTTGCTCTACATCATGAAGTGCGAAACTTCGCACGAACTTTCGCAACTTTGGACGCGAAACTTGCAAGGAACGCGAAATGAACTGTCGTAGGAAATTTCGTGAGATCGGGTCATGGTGTACGTGCCTAGCCCGCGCAAACTACGAAAATGTACAGAACGCAAAGTTTGTGCAAAAATTCGTACACGCTTTCGCAAGGAATGTCGCGAAACTTCGTTCGAATTTTCGTTTTGCAGAGCCTCTCTACTGAACCTTTCTTTAGCAACATGACGGCAACTGAAACAGCAACAGAGAAAGTACGATACATGTACTGCACATTCTTGCAGGTACTACAGGTACTACAAACAGATTGCAGATCGTAATTCTTGCTCTGCCGGCACGCAACTTTATTTGGGGCAGTGCAATCTCGGCGCTACTCACAAATCAAACAGCCCAGACTCGAGTAAACAAGTCCAATCATACAAGTACGAGATTTTCACGAGACGAGACTGCACCTATTGGCTTGTTTCGTATGAAGCAAACAAGTTACTGAACCTCTCCACAATAGAGATTTTCCCTGATATGCGAATTTATTTGGCAAACTCGGTCAATGAGTCCTTGAACCTTTCCCTCCAGATTGGGAACTGCCAACGATAGTATGCCACTGACCAGTGCCTTACTTGTAACGAACTAATGTGCAATGAATATGAGTATTTTGACTACACATATAACATAAGCCTTACCGTCAAGAAGGTGAACTCGCCTCTTCGCACACTGTAGGCAAGGGCAAAGAGATAAAAATGGATCTAAATCCGAATAAAATCAGCACACGTTTCCGTAAATGAAAGGGTGAGCATAAGCAAATGAATCGAAGGAAACCGGTCAACTAAGAGATCACCTGTCATTGAGTATTCCGTAAAAGGAGGCCTCGGCAGCGGAAAAGCTAAATTTAGAAAGGAGATCCTGTCAGCTTTTCCATTATTTATTGCATTCCGCCCAAAGTCAGCACACTTTTCGTAAATGAAAGAGTCAACACAAGCAAATGAATCAAAGGGAACTGGTCAACTCACCTGTCATTGAGTAATATTCCGCGAAAGGAGGTCTCAGCAGCACCGAAACGAAATAAGCCAGGCCAGGAGACGAAATATCCGAAACAGCTCATGCAAGAAGCAGTTCCAAAGTTCCTCGTGCATGCACATCCGAAAAGGCAACAACAAAAAGTCTGCAATGCATACGCATGTGGCCAGCCGGCCGCGCGATGGTAAGAGCCGTGGAGTAGCTCCCTGGTCCAGGACCAGGTACCGAGCATCTTACGTAGAAACTTACGTAGCTACGTAGACAACGTGTCTGAATAGCGGTGTCGTTAGGTAGCGCCATGTGAACACAATAATAGAAAAGCTGACAGGATCGCTTTTCTAAATGAGTATTTCGACAACACATCTAAGCCTCAGCAGCAACATAAGCCTTAACTTACGTAGCCTAAGTGAAATACCGAGCACCTTACGTAGAAACTTACGTAGCATAGCGATGTCGTTTTTTCTGCCATGTGAACACAATAATAGAAAAGCTGACAGGATCGCTTTTCTAAATGTTCACCCTTTCATTTACGGAAACGTGCTGATTTTATTCGGATTTAGATCAATTTTTATCTCTTTGCCCTTGTCTACAGTGTGCGAATTCACCTTCTTGACGGTCAGGCTTATGTTAGATGTGTTGTCGAAATACTCATATTCATTGTACATTGGTACGTTACAAGTAAGGCACTGGTCAGTGGCATGCTATCGTTGGCAGTTCCCAATCTGGAGGGAAAGGTTCAAGTACCAATTGACCGAGTTTGCAAAATAAATTCGCATATCAGGGGAAATCTCTATTGTGGAGAGGTTCGTTAACTTGTTTGTTTCATACGAAACAATCCAATGGGTGCAGTCTCGTCTCGTGAAAATCTCGTACCTGTATGATTGGATTTGTTTACTCGAGTCTGGGCTGTTTGATTTGTGAGTACCGCCGAGATTGCACTGCCCCAAATAAAGTTTCGTGCCGCCAAAGCAAGAATTACGATCTGCAATACATATAGTACTCTTGGTAGTACCAGTAAGAATGTGGAGTACATGTGTCGTACTTTCTCTGTTGCTGTTTCAGTTGCCGTCATGTTGCTAAAGAAAGGTTCAGTAGAGAGGTTCTACAAAACGAAAATTCGAACGAAGTTTCGCGACAGTCCTTGCGAAATTGTGTGCGAATTTTTGCACGAACTTTGAGTTCTGCACATTTTCGTAGTTTGCGCGGGCCAAGTGCACGTACGCCATGACCCGATCTCACGAAATTTCCTACGACAGTTCATTTCGCGTTCCCTGCAAGTTTCGCGTCCAAAGGTGCGAAGTTTCGCACTTCATGATGTAGAGCGAAAGTTTGTACGCATTTTCGTTTTGCAGAATCTCTCTAGTGACTCAATTGTTTCATACAAGAAATCTATTCGTATGTCTATTGGAGAAATAATTGTATTCACTGGTTATAAAATAGGTTAAGACAAACTCACAGAATAAATACCATCGGTCCCTTGGTGTTCGTCCTAAAGAGGTTCGACTGGATATCATTCATACTCACCAAAATATGTGTAAGATTTTATTATTGTGGAGTGCCTTGTTTATCTCTCAGTACCTCCAACCATAGCCTTGCCCCTTTTATTCTCAGGATCAGTGTAGTTGTTGGAACGAGGTTTTGGACTCAGCAATGTATTCGTTTACATTTTAATACATGTTTATTGTTCCTCCTTTGCTGTGTTGTTTTAGAAAATCGTGGACTAACAGTTTGAAGTCATTGAACTACTTCCAAAAGTTGTATCGGCATCAACAGGATTACCATTTCAGTGCAATATGATGCAGGATGACCTTATCACGATAAGCCATGATTATAAACCATTATAAACACAGAATCAACAAAAACATCTGCGACACGCACCTGGCTACATTTCTCAAATAAATCTGATCGAGGGTGGGGAAATCTGAAAGGCAAGACAATTTTATGACAGAGTCATGAAATTCTGCAACAGCAAGTTGCACCATGCACAGAATGACCTCCGTATAAAAAAAGCATCCCCACCACCAGACCACGACTCACAGGTTTCCCCGCCGAAGAACATACATTATGCTAGTGCTGTTTTCTGCAAGAAAAGGATTGCACATCATGCGTATAATACGTTATTGATGTGAAGGCCATCATTTACATATTAATATAGGGCATTCCATTGATTGGTGACAGAAAAAACAAAAGAAATTATAGTAATAAAAACTGCTTTATGGCAGTTTTCTAAAAAAAGTTATCGTGTTCTAGTCCATGGACCCCGTCTAAAAAGTAAGAAATTAACGAAAGGTGATAGCCGAAAATTAAAATTTCACACAAAACCTCACAATAATCACACACAGAATGAAAAGCTACATGTACCGTAGAAGACCTTTTCTCCTCGTGATCCTCTTTCCTATGCATGCATGTTGCCAATTGTTGGTGCAGTACAAGTTTAGTGTTGAAATCAGCATTTCAAGTGTTGTGATTATTGTGAGGTTTTGTGTGAAATTTTAATTTTCGGCTATCACATTTCGTTAATTTCTTACTTTTTAGACGGGGTCCATGGACTAGAACACAATAACTTTTTTTTAGAAAACTGCCATAAAGCAGTTTTTATTGCTATAAAATTATTATGCTTCGGCGTGCGGGGATACATACCGTAAAGTCGCGGATAAAAGCCGCTTTCTGCATCAGGCTTTATTGCAAACCAGGCTTGTATGCAAACCATGCTTATGTGCACCACTGGTATGCGCAATACGCGTACATCTACCACTGACTACCGGTATAGCGGCAGTTTTACTATGCACCGTACATAGCGCATGCACTCTTGACCTACCCGATCCGCGCTTGCGTAGAAGCCAGGCTTCTACGCGCGCTTCTATCCTCGATGTGCTTGTATGCAAACCCGGCCTTTATCCGCGACTTTACCTTATTCACTTTTTTGTACTTATGGAGCCTCAAAGTTCGTAAAATTGTGCCTTTTTCGTACTGGCAAGTAGGCTCCGGCGGATTATGCTCGCGAAATCAAGGAATTATGCCCACGAAATCAAGGAATTATGCTTTCATGGATTCTCGCATTATGCTCGTAAAATCCTCATATTATGCTTTGGCACCCGGGGATATACACTTTGCTGTACTTATGGAGCCTCAAAGTTCGGGAATTTGTGCCTTTTTCGTACTTGCAAGTTTCCAGTGGCCATAAGTACAACAGAATACATGTACATGAGTATCCCATACCAAGGTGGACATCCATGCACATGTAAGAGGTCAACATGGAAAAGAGAAAACAATACTTCTTCTACTTCGAAGTATTCATTACATGATTTCTTTTGTACTTCAGTAAAAATATTATTTCATTGCCAAATTAGTTTGAGTTACCTTTGAAAATTATCATGTTCAACTGTCTTCGTAATCATCATACTCGTCCATCCGATGTCACCCTGGGCCTCACCCTGCGAATAATCAGCTCATCTCTCCCGTAGCTCCACTTCTCCTTTGTTTGTTTGTTTGTATACTTTATTTAGAGTGGGAAGTCCAAAACAGGCCCTAGCCTAATAACAATGGTCCCACTAGTGAAGGAATGCTGTATATCTGTGCATAAGTATCAGTGAGTGTAACAGCAACTAGTTGGGAAAGAAAAAGAGAGAAGAAAAACAACTCAAAACAGGAGCTGCGACTTGCATAGGGAGAAAATAACGTAAAGAGCAGTGCATACAGCATTTGTAAAAAGGCTTATTTATCTGGTAAGCAAAAAGGCAAGAGCCATTGACTTAAAGCGATTGCGTTTTCTTTCTTGCCTGACCGCAGCGGGGAGCTGGTTCCATAAGATGGTCCCAGCATAGGTAACACGTTTGGCAAGATATGCAGTTGGGCTGGCTGGGACAATCAGTAAATTGCTGTGCCCACCACGAGTTTGAGTGGAATTACTGCGGCTGAAAAAGTTAGCGAACAACATGCTGATGTTAGAGGAGTCATGGAGACAACGCCAGATAAAAACCAGAAGGTGCATGTTGGCGTATGTGGTCAATGTTTGGATGTTCATGCGCGTAAGAATATTGCTTGTGGGTGTCCCGGGAGGTACCCGACAGACTGTGCGTACAGCACGCTTGAATAGCCCATTAAGCCGTCTACTTTGATACGCGGTGAGAAATGGTAAGTAAGCAGAAGCGGCATACATAAAGTGTGATAAAATGAAAGAACGAAAATAGGCTATGCGACATTGAAAAGGCAGGAACGTAGCGTATCGTCTGAGCACGCCAACTTTCGACGCGACGCCCCGTGCGACGTGGTCGACCATGGTGTTCCAGCTCATGTCCGCATCAAAGTGGAGACCTAAATATTTCGCAGAGCGAACAGTTGGCAGAGGCAGTCCATTACATTGCACTTGCAAGTCAAATGTTTGAGATCGTACTGGCGATATTGACATGATCTGTGTCTTGGTTTCATTCAAGATGAGACCGCGGTTCCTAAGCCAATCGGCGAGGTGCTGGACAGCACTTGAGAGATTTTGGGACACCTCATCCGTGCTCATGCCGCTGGATCTATTTGAGATATCGTCCGCAAACTGCAGGGTCGCAACGTTGTAAGGGGACAGCTCTTTCGCAATGTCACGGACGTAGAGAACAAACAACAGGGGCCCGAGAACTGACCCCTGTGGTACTCCGGAGAAGCTGGTGTATGGTGAGCTCTGTACCTGACCGACTTTGACATACTGTGTCCGATCTGAGAGGTAGTCTGCAAGCCATTGCAGCACCGTTCCACCAATTCCGACCTCGAATAGGTCCTGAATAAGGGTTTGGTGCTTCACCTTATCAAATGCTTTTGACATATCTACGAAAGCAATCCCCGTGAAGTACTTTTTTGTCTGGGCTTGGCATATGCCCTCAACGGCTAATACAAGGGCATCACATGTGGAATGATGTGAACGATAGCCGAACTGAGTTGGTGGAAATAGATCATGTCGGCACAAGTACTGAGTGAGCTGATCATGGATGACTCGCTCCAAAAGCTTTGAAACTATCGACATTAGAGACACGGGTCTGTGATTCTTTGCTATGCTGGGATCACCACCTTTA